GTGGGGACACAGTGCTCAGACCCGCGGATGGGGTGGGGGTGGACCCGGGGCCGTGGGGACACAGTGCTCAGACCCGCGGATGGGGTGGGGCTGGACCCGGGGCCGTGGGGACACAGTGCTCAGACCCACGGATGGGGTGGGGCTGGACCCGGGGCCGTGGGGACACAGTGGTCAGACCCATGGATGGGGTGGGGGTGGACCCGGGGCCGTGGGGACACAGGAGTCCAAACTTCTGCAAAGCTAAGGAGCCTGCGGGTCACTCGTTGGGAAGACCACAGGGGCCACAGCCCAACACTGCACTCGGTTCCACGCATGGACTTTCTACGTGAACGAGCTAGTGACCAGACTCCACTGCTCTAGCCATTCCTCTGTCCTCCATCCATCCATCCATCCACTCAGCACCAATCCAGTGCTTCCCCCCTGCCACCCACCATGCATTCGCCATCCATCTGTTCCTTTATCCTCCCAGCCACCTGCCCGCCACCCTTGTGACCTCTGCCGTCCGGGAAGGACAATGTTTGCGTGTCAGGGGCAGCAGCCCCCGAGCCCCGGGGGTGGGAGGAGCCGCACGTACAGTGAACAAGCCTTTGGTTCTCCTCCTGCTGCCGATGAAGAACTGGGCTCCTTGCACGGAGAGTGTGTCAGGGAAGGACACATCGGCCACTCTGAAAACAGCAGTGGACAGTTGAGTTACAGGAGCAAGGCCGCGCCCTGCTGTGATTACAAAAGACCCGTGAGCACAGTGCTCACGCCCGGGCCACCGCGACAGGCTCAGGCCCTGTACTTACACTGCAGGCAGCCGTCTGTCTGAGGCCCGGCCCGCGGGGAGAGCTCGGGCCGCACCCTCTCCCAGCCTCCTCCCCCAGCCTCCTCTGGGCCTCAGCTCCCCAGGAGGAGCTGCCCTCCTCTGTAAATATCATCCGGACTCAGTTCAACACCTGATCCCAAGTAAGAACGGGTTCACAGGCACCGGGGCTCGTGATGTGGGGAGGGGGTGATGCTGGGGGGGATGTGGGGGAGGGGTGATGCAGGAAGGGCATGACGTGGGGACACTTTCCCCCAGGACAGGAGTCTTCACTTGGCAAAGAGATGCTTAGTGGCTCTTCCTCCCCCCGCCCCTCCCGGCCTCCACTGAGCACTGTGTGCAGTGACTGGAGCAGAGGAAGGAGCCCTGGAGCCCCCAGGGCGATGGGAAGCGCTGGTGTGGATGTGAGCGTGGCTGAAGTCGAGAGCTGCGGGTGAGGCCGGCCACAGGAGGCTGGCCACGCGGCATCGCGGCCACGCAACACCGCGGCCAGAGGCCCCGGGAGGAGCGCTGGGGAGCCCTGACCCCGTCCTGCTCACAGTGCTACCCTCTCCTCAAGCACCCCCCGCCCCCCCGGCCGTCAGACTGCAGCTGCCACGGAGGCCCGCTCCGTCCCGCTGTCCACAAAGCCTAATCCCATGGGACACAGCACGGCCCTCCCTGAATGGCTGAGTGTGGGACAGCTGCCCTGCCCGGCCTGCGCCAGGGGCTCCCACTCGGTCCACAGCCGCCGGCTGGCTCTTCCTCCAGGAGGCTGCACACTTCCTCCACACTGCCTGTTCTTCCTCCAGGAGGCTGCGCACTTCCTCCCCACTGCCAGCCCCTCTTCCTCAGGAGGCTGCACTTCCTCCCCACTGCCAGCTCCTCTTCCTCCTGGAGGCTGCACTTCCTCCCCACTGCCAGCCCCTCTTCCTCAGGAGGCTGCACTTCCTCCCCACTGCCAGCTCCTCTTCCTCAGGAGGCTGCACTTCCTCCCCACTGCCAGCTCCTCTTCCTCAGGAGGCTGCACTTCCTCCCCACTGCCTGCCCCTCTTCCTGCTGGAGGCTGCGCACTTCCTCCCCACTGCCTGCCCCTCTTCCTCCTGGAGGCTGCACTTCCTCCCCACTGCCTGCTCCTCTTCCTCCTGGAGGCTGCACTTCCTCCCCACTGCCTGCCCCGCTTCCTCCTGGAGGCTGCACTTCCTCCACTCACTCTGGGTGTCCATTTTGAAAACCCGAGAGAGACTTCCTGGTCATTCTGTTGCAGGTCAGGCGGATGATCTGCAGGTGTCAGTGCCACGGCTCCTCGTCACCCGTGCTGGGACATGCCCAGGAGTCTGGTGACCATGCAGCCCAGCCGCACCGGCTTCTGTGCTGGTTCAGAGCCCTTCTGGCCTGCAGCTTTCTCTTGGGGTTCTGCCTGCCCAGAGCAGCCAGCAGTGGGGCTCCCCTTCTCTTGGTGCTTGAACTTTAGGGCACCTCATGAATTTTGGGGGGGCGGGAGAGCTGCTGTGATAGAGACGCACGAGGTCCAGGTGTGCAGTGCGTGTCTGTAGGCCTGGCTGTAGGAGGCACAGGCAGGAAGATCAAGGTCCTGACTGGCCATGGGCAAAACACCCATCTGAAAAACAGAGTGGACAGGGCCCTGGGTGTGGCTCCAGTCGCACAGCCAGCAGAAGGCCTCGAGTTCAAACCCCAGTACCATCCAAACCAAACAAAGCTCAGCTTGCATAAAGACCAAGGGTCCCTTTGTTACCAAGTAGGTTTCTTGGTTACAAAACAGGAAGCAGGCACCTCTGAGAGTAATAGCTTCAGATAATGGCAGCTTCACTACAAACAGAGTCATCATGGTGGACTGCAGGACTCACCGAGGCCAGGCCAGCTGGCTTAGGGCAGACCATACCAACAAGGCAAAGACCAGGACCTGGAGCAAACGCAGGCCCGAGGTCCTGGTGTGCACAGAGCCCCTGGGGCTTTTCACATCACCAGCTCTGTGTGGCCTGCAGAGGTGCAGCCACCAGGCCAGGCCCGGCCCTCATGGGCCTGCTGGGCACACAGGGGTGCTTCACCAGCTCTGTGTGGCCTGCAGAGGTGCAGCTGGACAGCTGCTCCAGCTGGCCTCACTGGCCTGACACTGCGGTCTCTGCAGAGGTGACGCTGGGGAGGGAGGGGAGAGGTGACACTGGGGAGAGAGGGGTGATGCTGGGGAGAGAGGGGAGGAGTGACACTAGGGAGGGAGGGAAGGGGTGACACTGGGGAGGGAGGGGAGGAGTGACACTGGGGAGGGAGGGGTGATGCTGGGAGGGAGGGGAGGGATGATGTGGGGGAGGGGTGACATTGGGGAGGGAGGGGTGACACTGGGGAGGGAGGAGTGGGGCGGGGGAGTGCCAGCCTGCTCCATGCAGTGCACTGAACACTCAGCCTGGGCCTGCTCCTCCAGGACACCGGACCCTTCTCTGCAGGGCCCGCCCCTTCTCCCGTCCTGTCCCCACCCAGGGTGGTGCCCGTCCTCCCCAAGGGACCTCAGCTGACTCCTCCAGGGTGGCTTCTAAGGCCCCGCCACAGCCTGGGCCATCTGGGGCCCCAGGGTGCGCACAGCTGAGGGTGGGCTGGGGAGGCAGGGGAGGACAGGGGAGGGCAGAACAGGGTGGGGAGGATGGGGAAGACAGGGGAGGGCGGGGAGGATGGGGAGAATGGGAGTGTGGGGAGGACAGGTGGGGAGGTCAGGGAGGATGGGCGGAGAGACTGGGAGGGTGGGGAGGATCTGGAGGGAGGATGAGGAGGGCAGGGAGGATGGGGAGGGCAGGAAGGAGAGGAGGGGAGGACAGGCCAGAGGGACAGGGAGGATGGGGAGGGCAGGGAGATCGGGGAGGATGGGCAGGGAGGGTGGGGAGGACCGGGAGGGAGGATGAGGGCAGGGAGGATGGAGAGGATAGGAAGGAGAGGAGGGGAGGACAGGCCAGAGGGACAGGGAGGATGGGGAGGGCAGGGAGGGCGGGGAGGACGGGCAGGGAGGATGGGGAGGGCAGGGAGGGCGGGGAGGATGGGCAGGGAGGGAGGATGAGGAGGGTAGGGTGGGCGAGGACAGGGAGGACGGGGAGGGAGGACGGGCAGGGGGATGAGGAGGGCAGGCGGGGAGGGCGGGTCCCGCGCCCCAGTACCTACACGTCCACGGGGAGGCCGCAGTCCGTGGTGAGGGAGAAGGACCCCTGGGACACGGCCAGGACCAGGGTGTGCCAGCGGCTGTCCGCGAGGCCGGGGCTGCGGAAGGACACGCGGGTCTGCCAGGCGCCGGCCGCGTCCTCGCTGAGGAACAGGAAGTGCAGCTGGGTGGATGAGAACCGCAGCCCGAGCAGCAGCGCGTCCCGCTCCTCCGCCACCACGGACAGCAGGTACTCGTTCTTCTGCGGAGAGCGGGCGTGAGGGGCGGGGCCGGAAGGGGCGGGGCCAGCGGGAGGGGTGGGCCTGGCCAACGGGAGGGGTGGGCCTGGCCAACAGGAGGGGTGGGCCTGGCCAGTGGGAGAGGAGGATGGGGCCAACGGGAGAGGCGGGCCTGACCAATGGGAGAGGAGGATGGGGCCAACGGGAGGGGTGGGCCTGGCCAACGGGAGGGGTGGACCTGGCCAGTGGGAGAGGAGGGTGGGGCCAACGGGAGAGGCGGGCCTGACCAATGGGAGAGGAGGATGGGGCCAACGGGAGGGGTGGGCCTGGCCAACGGGAGGGGTGGGCCTGACCAATGGGAGAGGAGGATGGGGCCAACGGGAGGGGTGGACCTGGCCAGTGGGAGAGGAGGATGGGGCCAACGGGAGAGGCGGGCCTGACCAATGGGAGAGGAGGATGGGGCCAACGGGAGAGGCGGGCCTGACCAATGGGAGAGGAGGGTGGGGCCAACGGGAGAGGCGGGCCTGGGGAAAGGTGGGACCAATGCGAGAGGCGTGCCTGGCCAATGAGAGAGGAGGGTGGGGCCAACGGGAGAGGCGGGCCTGGCCAATGAGAGAGGAGGGTGGGGCCAACGGGAGAGGCGGGCCTGGCCGATGGAAGGGGTGGGCCTGGCCAGTGGGAGGGGAGGGTGAAGCCAATGACAGAGGAAGGCCAGTGGGAGAGGAGGGTGAGGCCAATGGGAGAGACAGGTCTGGCCA